GTTTGCACTGTTGCAACGTGTTAGTAAATGTGTACACTATATATTTTTTATTATATATTTTTGGGTTTACACTCTCGCCATTTATCTAGCCATCCATCCATTTTTTCTTCCAAATGATTAAGTAATTCTGTGATTTTGGCTCTCTAAAACACATGCATGCTAGGTTAAGCAGTGATTCTGAATTGGCTGTAAAGTGAAGTGCTTCAAGTGTAAAAAATAAAGGACTATTTGAGTCGTGTGTAAGATTAGTATGTTCTATAAAAGAAGGAAAAATGGAATTACTGAGTCTATGAAACCAGAGGTAAACTGTCTAAATTGGAATTTGCCATCATATCAAGCCCAGCACTGATGCCTGGGCCTTTAGCCATGACATACATGTCCCAACATCTCTTTCTGTCGTCAGCACCAAAGAGAAGACCACCAAAGATGAGATTGTTGTGGAGATGAAGACCAACACAAAGAATGAGGAAGCCGTCCTCCTAAAGGCTGTCAACGGAGACAAAAAGGGTCCTAATGACCAGGTAACTATTGTTGTGGATGAACAGTCACAATTTACACTCAACTTCTATGTATAGCCAGTAATTTTGTGTGAACCATGACTGCAGTTTTCATTTCATCAAACACCAACAACAATTTTTGTAGTGACAGCATTTTTAAAACTGCCATCAAATGCCTTTATTCTGTGAAGATTTAACATAACTGCCAAGGCTGTGGAAGTTGAAAATTGTCTATATTGTGGTTAATTTCACATGTTTGGTAGCTGTTCAGTTAAACTTAAATGTTTGATCCAAGTTAGACATTTGTGCCGTCGCATTCTGGGTAACATTCAGGGCTGCACTGAATGTGTGATAAATATAGAATAACAGTCATGTAGTGCATGCAGCTGGAAACAGGATTTATTCAGTGTGATCACTGGACTGAGAGGAGTATCTGAGAAGCTGACGCTCTCCTCTTTGTCTCCGGTGAAGCCCCTGTGAAGATGTGCAGCAGACAGCAGGATAAATGAAGCCAGCAGTGGGTGTGTGTTGGAACAGCAGAGGCAGGAGACGCTCCCACTGACCTGATACCTGCAGAGTAACACCACCTCACAGTCTGGACGTTCGACCCACCGTGCTTTGTTCACAGCAGTATTCAGATGATCGACACAGAACTGCAACCATACATGCACATTACACTCACACACGCACACACATTAACACACACAGGTATGTACATAGAGATCTGTATTTTCTTTTGAGTGAATGTTTTCTTCCATTCATTAGTTCTTGTACTACTTCCTGAAACTGTGTTCAGCTCTTTGCTGTTGTTCAGTGTGTATGATGGCATCTTACGTGCATCATGTTATTTTATTTTTTGTTTTTATCAAAGTGTATATATTATATATATTTTGTTATTTAAGGAATTTGGCACTCAGATTTTCATTTCATGGCAGCGTCTGGGTCTTGTGCATGTTGATCCGTGTTCATGGTTCCAGGTGATGTTTAAGGCAGGACGTGTTGTCAGAGACCAAATGATACAGTCATACTGAGAGGGTGTCAGTGTGTTTGACTTTAAGAAAAGGACGAGTAATTTCAGCCCGAATCGATGATCATCAGCAGGTTAATCCCAACACTAATTTGAGCGTCAAAACGACACAACACACTGGCAGCTTCTTTGGAAACTGCTGTCAAGCTCGTGTACTGTTTGTAAATACATGTTTGTACAGACTTGCTAGTGGTGGCCTTGAACTATTACTGAAGGTGAAAAGGTCAAAGGTTAGAGATCTGCTGTGCCTATGTTTTTGAGAATACATCATACACTGAATTTGTTTGTTTGCTGTTTGCTTTGTGTTTCCACTGAGAGCTAGTTGCCTGAAAAGGCGTCCCAGTGTTTTTGCATGTGTGAGTCCAGACAACACACACGCTGCAGATACTGTTTTCCAGTCTGGCTGCAGGCTCTGCGCTTTTTTCCCCCCTCAGGCAGCCACACTTTTTGTTTTTGTAGACTTTGAGAAATTATATGCGAAGACCTGAGATTTGAACATTTAGTTTTCTGGTCAGCATTGTGCCAGACTGATTAAAATAATCTTGGCTTGGCATTACCATTAAACTATCACAAACCTTCAACAAAAATAAATTGCAGACATTAAGATTTCTGTTATGGACTGCCAAACTAAAGCAAGTGCTTTTTTTTCAAACCTTGAAATATCAGTCTACAGTTTGTCATTTTGGAGGAGAACGGCTTGAACAATCTTCAGCAAACCCAGAAGTCTGAAAACTAAACATTACTGATTTTCTGAACATATTTGGAAGACTCTTCTCACAGTGTTTAAAAAACAATATCCAGAAATGATGAGCTGCTTCTCCTCGACTCATTTGTACAATGTAAACAAGAGTTTATGCCTCCATTCTTCTGTACACAGCAACACGTTGATTTGTTTCTTGAAAAATATCTTCAAAGCTTTTTGAAACACCTTCAACGATTTATATTTCAGTAAGTGCTCAACTCTGTTACTCCCATGTAATTATAGTACATGAGGCAGAAACTGTGGCTAACCTTAAACACTCTGTACAAATGCAGTCCGGCTGCCTGATGAGGGAAAAGAGGCAAAAATATTGGTGCGCTCCTTTTTTTGGCCCAGTGTTGTGAATATTGCTCACTGTGTACATCATTGTGAAAAAGATACACTTTGTTGCTGAGAGCGCTACATTGCCCCAATGACTTGCAACATTAACAAAGTAGTGATGTGTTTTCTGTTATCTGCTTTTGGTTTGTGTCTTTTTTTGTTCCACTGAGCTGAAGTTGGAAGAAATATCCAGGTACAGGTTGTCCTCAGGCAATAACTGTCATTATGGTTTAGAAAAGCTGCACGAAGCCATAACGCCGACAGTGTCCTGTGTGCAGTGAAACATTTCTGATTCTGTTTTGTTGCTCTGGATTTTTTTCACTGGTGGGGAAAAAAATGTTGTGTTCTTTCTTTTTCTCTACGTGTGTAAATTGAGTACTGTACATGTGATTCTTTGAGCTTGCATTTTTTTATATTTTTCGCAAGAAAATAAAGCCAAATAAAGTTTCATTTAAAGTTTTCATTTAAAGTGTTATTACTTTTGCAGAGGTATAAGGGAGCTCTGAAGTGAGAGCCCAGAGGCTAAATATGAACCCCAGCAAATGTGAGCTCAGTGTGTTAGCTCTGCACAGTCCCACAGTGAGAAGACAGGAAGGAGTGCAGCCTCCAAACCGCTGTCAGCACGAACTGGAAGTGACTCCAACAGTAGCTCAGATTTCCAGCTGGAGTCTGGAAGGAGGCAGTTCAGAAAACAAAGCTCACATCTGCAATGAATTCAGGCAGCGTTAGCTCATGTAGCTGCGAATCAAATCAGCCATTCTCTCTTCATTTAGTGTAAAGCCTCCAAAGGAGGCGCTGCCACCATGATTACGACTCGGTACTTTGGCTTTGTCTTGCATTTTTGCTGCTTGGATGGATTGCTGCCTGTGACGGGTTTTTTTGAGGGAAAAGCGCAAAAGTACATCATATTTTCTACACTGAAAGTTTGTGCTTTAAGCATTTAGTGTTTATTTAACAGTGGGGGAACAACACATAGGAACCCAGTGAGCTGGTTTGTTTCAGAGGTTCTTAATAGGTTTGATGTCTGAGTGTAAATTCAGAACCCAAATCAGAAATAAATTGTGTGTGATTGGGTGCCTCACAGGAAAAATGCACACTGAACATTTTAAGCACAGTGTTAGTTCAGGCTGTGATGGCTCAGCAGACACCCTTTTACACATCCAATAGGCATCTCTCACACAGATTGCAGTATTTAACCTGCTCAAAGCAAGCTACTTTGCAACCCACATCAGCTCCTCTGTTTCTCAAATACAGTTGAAGATTTAAAACAAACACCTTTTGTCAATCTTAGCCATACTTACATGATGGCAGAAGATTTATCATGCAATTTTTCCCCCCCATTTATCCCAGAGTTATCCCCGCAGTGTACAACGTTGACAGGTCAACAACAGAGATAAAGCTATTTGCACATGAGCAATGTAGAATCACTACTTAACATAACCCACTAAGTGGATATCTTTAGGAAACTAGAGTACTCAGAACCCCTGGAGACATGAGGAGAACCTGCAAACTCCATGCAGAATGGCCCTGGCCAGATGGTGGATTTAAACCACCCCATGAAGTACAAAAGAAACTGAATGAATGAAATGTGCAGCCGTTGTCATGCATACCTTTATACACATGTAGGCTGCTGGGTATAATGTTACAGGAACGTTTTCTAATGCAAAAAACTGACAAAGCCATATTATAACTTTGTCTAGATAATAAGCAGGAGGCAGATGTTACTCATGGAAAAAGACTTAAAAATGTTATTTAAGATAAATCTCAGAACCTCGACGAGTAAAACTAAAACTGTCTGCATGCAGAAACAGTGGAACTTGTGTTTAAACATGTGAGAACCTAACTTTTAAAACATGTATTCACCTCCAGTGTCCCATAACTGTAACATAATTCATAGCACAGTGGTTGCAGCTCACCTTTAGATTAATAAGTTGCCTGCAGTGACTCTACAGTCGCCTTCAACTCTGCTGAACCCTTTTTGATCTTTTAATTTGTCGAGTACACTCTCATTAATCTCGCTTCAGGCAGAATTGTTCAGTAATTGAGTCTGATAAAAGCAGACAAACCAAGTTCTCTAGCAGTAAACAAAGGAGAAATAGCAGCTCCTCCTGGAGTTTGTGGAGAACGTTGGCTTTACTTTCAGCATGTAGCCAGAAACATAACCGCTAATGAATGCAGAATAATGCAGCAGTAAATGTTTGGAGACCCACTACGTTTACAAATGTGATGCACTGCAGATGACAGTCTTGCAGCGTACTGTCAAGTCTTAAAATTGTTATTGCAGGATCGTTTCATTAGCGTGTCCCATAAAGTTTGATAAATGCAAATAACCTGATGCTCAAACACATTAATAGAGAATCTGTTTGCTTATGTCTAGTGACAAACCACAAAGATCAAATGTTAAAGAAAATACAGTTTAATTAAAAATCTTAATGGCTTAGGCATGAAAACATTGTAACACAATGAATGCCGAGGATATTAAAAACACAATAAATAAAATATCTACATAGACAATAATAAAGCAATGAAGACAGTTTTTTTTAGTAGGCAAGTTCCTGTTGAGAAGGCTAGTTAACATGAATAAAGCACACGCACACACTCCTTGTTAATCAGCGGATCAGAACCAACACACCGGCCGAGGTTACCGGCGACACTGAGAGAAAGCGTGTGAGACGGAGGAGCCTCTGGCAGTGATTCAGCAGGACAATGAGCCTTGAGTGCGTCATCACACATCAGGACTACAACAGTCCTGGAGTTAGTGCCATTTAGTTGGTTGTCTTGATACAAAACGCCAAGACTGAGTGAAAACAAAGCTGAGGGGACTGAAGACACATTCGTGGTCTCTGTTCTGGGGCAACTCGAGGAAGATGAGGAGGAGGAGCAGCGCACGCACACGTTTTAAGATTCTTTTGGTTTGGGGCGATTAAAGCTGCAACATTTCTGTGGCATCACAGACAGCCAGAAAACAGCAGGACAACTCCAGGGTATTCTGGGTTCTTAACAGGATTTACTGGGGGTTTTTTCTCCCCCTTAGCATCAGATTTAGAAATTTAGTAACATTTCTTTTCATTTAGTTCCGTTTGAAGTATTAGGTTTTTGCACGGTCTCCAAATCCAGCAGCACATTTATTGGGGGTGGGAGATCCTAGTGTCTGATAATTACGAGAAACATTTTTCAGATAAAGTTCATGTTTAATATAAGTCAATCACCCTTTGCCCTTTCACCCAAATCAGGGTTAAAGTTTGTTATTTTGACTTTAAAAAGTGGAGCTCTCTCTATTCTGAAACACTTTTAAGTCAGTTAAATTTTTTTAATCTAAAAAGGTAAATTTGCATAAACTGTAGTTCTGATATAGTGTTACCATGGTGAAATCAAGAGAGCGCTTGACCTGAAAACAATCTGCAGTAGTTTCCAACACATTTAAATGGTGAATGTGGAGGGGTTATTTTGGCTTGCCTGCTGGCATGTGCAAGTTGTGATGGACAGAAGGCACGTTTACTGTACATGTCGCTGCGGAGGAATGAAAAGGTGACCAGCTGACAGTGAGCTTCCTTTCACTGTCAGGCTCATTTGATTAAACTGGGTTCTTGTCATCTACCTTTAGGACTTGTAAGAACAACAACAAAAATCAGCCTATGGTTTAAATAATATTCATGCAGAAAAACATAAATGTTCCAGATGTTGCAACTCTTTTTGTGTTGTGTTTGGATTCAGATCAGATCACTGTTCTCCTTTAATGTCTTTAATCTGAATCTTTCTTTAGTTTCTTAAGTAGACAAACCAACAGCCTTCATGCAGGTATGACGCTGAATACCACCGATGGGCTCATCTCAGACGCTATAGGTGTGGTGATGCCTGGAAGTGGCAGCTGCTGAATTTTTTGGTCCATTGACAAGAAAATATAACCTGAGAGAAATCCAAACCTTTAAAGGGCTTTTTACGTGTCAATTTGGATATTTTATTGGCGCGTTAAGGACCTAAGGTCTCTGTGCACTGAAAAGCAGCAGTTCATAAAAGTATGTATGGGAAGAGTGTTGATCTCACCAGATGTTTACTTCTTAGCAGCTTTTAAAGAGGAGAAAGGGGGAGTAAAACTACACAGTAGCGTACATGAATCAGCGAAGCTGCACATGGTCACAGCAGGAATTTGGAGAAAGTCCCGTATCGTCAACTCAGACATTTTACAGGAAAGCTAGTATTTGTAATGGATTGCAACACTACAAGTATTACAATCTAAGTTCATCCTTAGTGGTGGTACCAGAGTTTTGGTGTGATGAAGAGCACGCATGCTTGAAATTTTACGCGAAGAAGTTAACGTGTTAGTAAAATTGGAGCAGATTGTTGATTTCTTTGTTTTTTGTACCAAAGTTAAAATAGAAGTCAGAGTCTACGAGTCCCTGTTCAAAGGTTTTGTGACAATTTCAAGCCAATTTATTCTGGGCATTTATTCCCGACCCATATAGGATAAAACAAAACTGATATTTAGTGATTTAAAAATCTGATATCAACAGTTTGTTTTTCTTTCAGCAGCCGAAATAAACAAATTTGTTATGCATAGTCTATACACACACAAATACAGACAATACATGTCATGGATCACTCGTTTACTCTCTCACTCTGCTCAGAACATTCCTGTTGCCAACAGGGAAGTTACAGAGTGCCCTCTGGTGGAAAACTACGAAACATCACGGATAAATCTTTGAAGGATGTTTCGCTCATCTAGTCTTTTCTTTTTAATTTCCATTTAGTAGCAGTTATATAGTACCAAGAGTGAAATATATCTGCAAATAGCTCAAATCAGCCCCCCAAAAATTGGCTTTCTAAGTTTGAAACTAGTGATCAGGAGCGTGTTTAGTGTTACCACTTGCGCATCTAGAAGCTGGCTATACAACACGTTTATCAGACCACCATCCAATGTAAGGTTTGTGCCCCAGCTGCTCTAAATGAACAATGTTAGTATTTACCGAAATCATCTCCATACCAGTTAATCCACCAGTATAAACAAGCTATTTGATTGAAATTTTATTTTTAATGCTTGAATATAATTATTTTTGTTGTCCATTAATTTGGTTTAAATACAATTTTTTTTTTTTTAAATTAAGATGCCACATACTTATTTTCTTGCATTCTTGCACAGAAAGTTTTTACTGGCTCACTGCTATGCCTGAAAAACATGAATTCTGTTCATTATTAACATTATAACTAATAATACAATTTTGTTTTAAAAAGTTTTTACAAATTTCTAAAACATGTTTTAGAAATTTGTTGGCATTTGTGACAGCTGTAATGTGTTGTAAATTGCTTTGACGGATTAATACAATCCTGAGATTTTTGTTGCCTTTCCCCAACATTCCTCCCATGAAGAGTTTTATGAACTGCAGAGTGACTGAAATCCACAAAATGGTCATACAGGACTGTGGACAGATGGAATTACCGCAGCTACATTCGAGTCATATCCAGAATTTAAAGTTAGAGGACGTAAACGAGCTCATCGAAGAATCAGAAAACAGATTTTAATATCTTAACTATGGTAGCTGTATGTAAATATGCTGCAGGAAACCTAAAAATATAAAGAAAATCCACTCTATGGAATGTCTGTGAGGATGGAGGAAGCGTGTCCTTTAGCATCTGCTCGTTACATATAACCTGGCTTATTACTGAGTACCTGAGTCCACGTGACTTCACCCCACTTTCAGTTTTTTGTTTTTTGCTTTAGGCTTTAGAGTTTGATGTGATTTCCCAGTGAACTGAGTGAAGCTGTTCTAAGAGCTTCTTTCGGTTAATAACTAAGAAACTACGAGCGTAGAGAGAAGCTTTGCGACTAAATAAACCAGCCTTCAGTGTCGGGCCACCTCTAGCGGTGGCAGGAAACGATGGAATTAAAAAGAACTCAAACTCAGCCATTGTTAGTACTACGCACACCACAACACATTATGAGAGTACTTAAACATTAAATTTGTTATTTCATCATAGAACTATCACCGAACCTGGAGCTGACAGACGGCAACTGAATTGTGTTCACCTTGTCAGATACCATCGAAAACGGAGCGAGCCACAGCGACGCGTACGACATCGAAGCCCTGCAATACTGCACCGCGACTACACGTTCACATTCATCAGCACGAGCACGACTGCCACACAGTTAATCACCAGTTTCAGACCGTATCGCTACATATTCGTACGCCACGATTTGCAAAGAAGCCAGTAAAAGCACCAGACCGAGCGGCTGCAGGCAGTGGGACGCCCAGTCGGACACGACTATGTGCGGGGTACCTTCGCTGAACAAAGTCTGCACGGCTTTAACACTTAGCTTAATGAGAGCGTGCACGCAGACTGAGGGGAGACACTGCCGCAGCATTTAACTAACTCAGCGAATCACAGCAGGGTCACAGCAAGCCCATTTTAAAGGCTCCGAGTCATATCGGACTTACAGTTGACCTCTCACCTTTAAGGCCAAAACCCTCAATCTCCAAATGAATATTACAAGTAAAAGAGATTCTGAGACTGTAATTTCAGCCGCTTGACATTGTCTTTAACAATAGTCCCCCCACCCCACCCCACGTTGCTGTTTTCCCACTACAAATGACTTTGGATGAGATATAACATGGACGCAGCATCATCCCTCAGAGTAAAGCCTTCTGAAAGTACTTGTGGCCCTGCAGGAAAGTGCTTGGTAAATGATAATGGCACAGAGTGGAGAGAGACGAGACAGAGGATGAGCCTGCGCAAAGTGACTATGTGGCGATGTGCGCTGTGGAAGGGATGGAGACAAACTCGCGCAGGATGTTCTTGGCCGTCTCGAGGTTGTTCTGAGCGATCATCAGGGCCTTCTGGATGTCCTGGATGGAGTAGCCTTGGGATATGAGGCATTCAATCTCCCCGTTTAGGGCCAAGCTTCCAGGACCTGAAGGAGGAATAGTCGGAGGTGGAACAGGGGAGGCAGATGAGGAGGGGCCAGGGAGGTCTGGCGGCGGCGGAGGTGGCTTGCGGTTTAACGGACGAGGCCGTCGGTCAGAGTTAGCTCGCTGCGGGAGAGGTTTTAGGGGACGTTCGGGGTCGTCGCCTGCTACAAACATACCTGAAACAAATGAGAGAAAATGAAAGAAAAATAAGAAACGTGATGAGTCAAATACAAAATAAGCACGTCAAATACACATTTACATTGACACATGAGCACTGATGAGTAGATGATTTGTGGGAAAAATAATTTAATATTTGCCTTTATAACCAGACATTTGCTAACCTGAAACATCTGAGAAACAGAAACATTTAAGAAGTCCTTAAAAACTGTTAAAAGTATCCGCACTCTGAAAAAACTAAAACACTGGATAAATCATCTGTAACAGTCTGTGAAAGGCAAAGAAACAGCATGTGCCACAGAAATAAAACTTGCAGGAAAAAAGGCCTTTAGGTTATCACTGACATTAAAGTTCTGGCTTCAAAATAACTGTTACCAAGCAAACTGCCAAGCAGTGACACTTGCTCCTAGAATGAATGTGGCTTCCTAACAGAAGGCTGATTGGTCCAAACTACCTGTAGTTCATCTAGAAGCACATAGCTTCAAGCCTGGCACGATGGATTCTGTTGTAACTTTGACCTCATGAATCGCCTGAGCAGTTTCACAAGCTGGCCTGACATGCAGCACTATGTGTTAGAGTATCTATGAAAGCAATTTCCATCACTGACTTCAGTGTGGTTAAAGCAGTAATTTGCTGAAGCCAAAGTTAAACAAGAAGTTTCAAGTTACATTCATGTAGCCTAATTACTTCTCAAATTAATATTCATTTGTCCACCACTACAGAGTCTAACTAAAACTACTTTTCTGTTTGGACTTTTTGATTTTTCTTTAATTGTGATTAGCTTCAATGCCAAAAAAAATTGTTTGGCACTTTTTGTTTTATTTCCAGCCTGAGGAAAAATGCTCAATAAAACAACATTAATAGCGTGGACAACAGAGAACTGGATGTCACCGGTTTGTTCGTGCATCATCTTGAAGCCCCAAGCTGAGCATACTGGTGATCACTATTAAAATATAAATCACGCTGTGTTCAGTACGACGTAACTAATGACCACAACTCCCTTTTTGAAACCAGAAATTTCACCACCTGCTGATCATTAGAAATTAAAAAAGGGGGGAGAAAAAAAACAAAACAAACAACAAAAAAAAAAAAACCCACACATACTGGGATCTACTGCAGAGTCTATGTTGAGATTACTGAAGGCTGAAGAAGGGCCGCCGATATCTGACAGGGCTCTTCTGGCGGGGGCAGGAGGGACCACTGGTCTGGGAAAGTCATACTCGTAAACATCCTCCACACTGGCCTCCTCCTTTTTGTCCGGCGGAACAGCTGAATGCTGAGGAAGGTCTTGGAGGGGGGGAAAAATGTAAATAAAAGTGAGGTTTTACACTGATATTCTTAATTCTGTGATGTCAGTTTATCCACTACTACTAGAACAAATAGTCCGATTACTGTTAGTAATCCACAATGATCAAGCACTTCCCATACACTGAAGTGAGAAACTGAGAACGTTACCCAGCTCAGAGTTCTGTGTCGTCTCCGACGAGCCGGCCTGGGCCTGGATGTTACACATGGATTCGTAAACCTGGGGGTCCTCAGAGTCACTGTCCCCCACCTCACTGCAGGCACACAGCAAGACGGAGAGAGATAGAGGAATCATTTAAAGGGGAACAAACTGTGCTCATTTTCATTTAAAGAATCTTATTCTTGGACTCAAATAGTTTTCCATGATTTTAAATAAATAAATAAATAATGCCATTTATACTTTCAGGCCACCGTCCCCTTAAAGTCAGTTTTCTTCTGATAGGATGCCCCTTGCAAACAGCAGGTTTGAACTGTAGGTGGTTGGGGACAGAGCGGTGTGCCTGGAAAGTCTGCATCCTGAGCCCCTTACACTTAACTCATAATCTGAAATTTTGTCTAGTTACCATGGTAACACTACATGACCAAAATAAACAAAAAGAAAGGAAAAAGTATTAGAAGCAGATTTTGAAAAGGGCCATTGTTGGCGATCCTTTATGCCTGACTCTTACACAAACTAATCCTCACAGAGAAAGTAATATTCTCAATGACTGAATCTACACTTTGTAAGCTAAATCACCAAACCTCTGATCAAAAACTCATCATTTCAGTGTGCTAACATCACAAATAGACCGCTAAACATCTAGCTCTACTTCAAACAAAAATCCACCAATCACACAGAGGTATGAATGCTTCCAAATATTACACATTTTAAGCCTAATTAGTCATGCATGGACCCAGTGAAGGCATCTTTGTAGGCTCACACACCAACTTTCAGCTCTCGAGTTTTAAAATTTAAGCAGATTTCCTATCCATTCGAATTCCCTACATTTTAGACACTTTCATCATTTTAATCAAAGAGACAAGCTGAGATGCAGCTGCCGTCATCTTCAAGCAATGCCCTTTAAATTATTTAAGGAGGTGAAAAACAGCAAGTAAGTGAACGAGAGTTCTGTCTAAGGAATGGGAACCTCGAGAGCACCCTGCTGGACAAAATACACAGCTTCAGATTTGAGGGTTGCATTACTGTGTGTCAGACTATCCCTTTAACTTGTTTATAGACCAACTTCCTCACTTTTCACTCTACGAACTGTTTGAAATTCACTTGTAACCTTTCCCAGCGAGATTTTTCTCTGCAATTCACTATACAATTACATAACCACACACATAAGCACATTTTATTACCTGCCGGAAGGTCTGAGCATGTTTGTTGATCTGCTGGTATTTCCAACAACCCAACATCTATATTTTTCCCTTAAAGACAGCACACCCTGTCTTTTGGACAGGGTGTGCTGTCCAAAAGACAGCACACCCTGGAGCTTCAAGTCATCTGACCTGATCTGGTGTAAAGTTCTTCCTTTTACACTATACATACTCCATTAATAAGATGACAGTGGGACCAATTGTGTCATTTTTATGCTCCCTTTGGGTCTGATTTTCTTTCACTTGTAGTCTAAATCCAGTGTTGTCTATTTTTTTCCTTACACTGTGATACTTTCAATGCTGTTAAGCTGTGTTCTTCTTCTGGTCATTGATTATGTTTGGCCTTTAAAAACTGAGTCAGAATACTAAAACTAATCCAGAAACCTAAAAATATGGGAAATAAATAGCCCACATGTTAAGTGTCAATACGTTCCAGCTGCGGAGAAGCCTTTAGAGGTCATTTTCCTGAAAAACATTCTTCTAATAGAAGCAACTTCATCCCCCTTGCTGTTCCGTTTACCTGATGTCATTGTGGTTGTTTCCCTGGGTTGGTGGTGGGGGCACCAAGGAGCCTGTTATTACCCACGGGGCACCGGAAGCTGGAAGGGATGTGGGACTCATGTACTCATTATCTTCACCGTCTGACGACAGCTTCTCCCCGCTGGACACCGCTGACCCTGGCAACGACCTGAGCAAAGGTAGACATCACAGAGCGTGTTTTTTTCTCATCAGTCGTAAATGACAAATTTGAGAAATCCTGAAGGAGACACAAAACGCAAACACACTGACAGTTTTTTTTTTTACTAGTTCTAGAAATATATGAAAAGGCATCATTTTGATAGATCAGAACACTGATGTGGCTCTACATTACATCACCAAAACAAATGTTAAGAACGCTGCTGGCAAGGTCAAAGAAAGATGGAAAAATATCCATTCGCTCCTCATCAGTTCTTGTCTCACTACATTATTTCCTGTCTACTACACCTTAGTGCAGCCAGGCAGTACACAGCATTGATCGCCGTCTGCGGTTTGCTCCCCTCTGCGCCGGCTCCGTTGCTCTGAGGGATGGACGACGGGGCCTTCGTTGCAGGGCGTGGCACCATGTAGTTGGCTGCCCAGGCTGGCTGGTCCGGGGTGGAGGGGAGGGGTCTCCTTTGGAGTCTGGATTCCTGGCCGACCAGGGAGGGGCGCTCCGGTGGGGGAGGAGGGGGCAGCTCTCTCAGTGCTGGAGGCAGAGGTAGAGGCTTGTCCCTGTGAGTGGCTACCATCTGGGTCAGAAGACACAGTACAGGATGTTTTTTGTTAGAGATGTGAAGACTCAAGTACACACACACACACACACATCCTATTTTGGTATTAACAATAATTGTGTTAGCAGGGCTGGCAGCACACTGGAGGTTTAATAAAAAGGCGTGACTATTAATCTTTAAGTCACACGCAAACAATTGAGCAGTTGTGAATACCAACACTTAGCCAATTCACATAATTTCCAGGAATCTGCAGCCACATTAACACATGATTATTTTTGACTATCAAATGGACATCTGACACACACTGTGGTAACTTCAAGGCTTCTAGGAAATATTGACTAAAATATACTTGGGCTCATTACAGCTTTATCTCACAGGCTCTTTTGATCACAACTAAAACTATAAATGCTCTTTTCTAGAGAAGATATTCATTAGATATTTATATCATTAGCCATTCATATACATTCATTTATTGATATAAAAAGTGAGTTAAAGCTGGTAATAGGAGGTGGTTAGTTTGTGATATTACTCTGACCTAAATGTACTGCTCTTGTAATGAAGTTTGCGTCCCAGCAGCAGGTGTTGGCCTTAACACTTTGCATATGACTTCCATATGATTAAGCAGTTATTACTTCTGGTTCAACTGTATGTTTGCACAGGGCTCTTCTTATAGGCACTATTCAGAGGGAAAATATTTCAGTGACCGGTAAGTCTTGAATGCACCTTTGGCCAATGCAAGTGTTTTTCTAAAAACTGTTTTTCCACCCTTTGAATTCTTTTCCACAGCTAGTCGGTCTCAAAGCCTTTTGTCTTTAGTGCACTCAGGCGTGTACTTACTTTGGCTGTGGCTCCCTGACTCAGTGCACTAAGGGAGGCAGAGGACCTCTGCTGTAAGAGGTCCAGTCGCGGAGGCACCGGAGGCAGCTGAGACACTGGAGATGGAGGGCGCTCCACCTGCACACCCACACATTGATTTACAGATTTTGTAGCAGATGAAGTGCTTGTAATATTCCTCAGCGATATTTACACGATAAGGATCACTCAAATCACCTTTCATTCCTTTTCTGATGCTCTGCTTGAACTTGAGCAGGTCATCTTGACCATATCTATTAGCTAAATTTACTGAGTTGTTGTAGCAATTACCTGATTAATTATGTGCATTAATAAGCAATCGAACAGCTGCGTCTAATAAAGCACCCAGTGAGCGTCTAAATATATGTACGTGCTCGTCTTACTTTGGTGCAGGCCAGCCTGCTCATGACAAGTTGCTGGTCTTCCAGCCGATCATCCTCTTCCTCTTCGTTGCCTGCGGCTTCTGCTCTGCTCGACCCCTGGAAACCAGCAAAGGAAGCCCCACTGGCCTTCGGGTGAAAGGGGTCCACTACAATAGGCTCCGTGCCTTTAATCTCACATCGGCAAAACGGGCAGCCCTGACCCTCCGATTCCTGAAATGCACACACACAGAAAGACACAGCAAGGTTAGGAGGTAAAGGTAAAGGAGCAGACTGAAGCTTTCATCATTTGTAAAAGGCTTTGCTTTGATTTAAACCCAAATTACAGCTGCAAGTCTTTTCAAGAATGAAAGCTGAAGGAGGAAACCATGAAAACTACCACAAAAAGAGTCAACCTGGATAGGATGAATTATAATGTAAATAAAACTGAAGATGTCAAATAAATGTTGTACATCAAAGATCTGCAGAAGGAGCACTTCAACAAAAACCATGTCTAAAGAACTCTGCAGTCATGCTGCGATTAATTAATCTGTTAAATTAGCCCGGAGAGCATTTCTGTCGTGAAAGCAGAGTAGTGAGAACAACACGACTGTGCTTGGGAAGACAACGATTATATTGTTCGTCTGATGTCAACCACAATCAAAATAAATTCCATATAAGGAAGTCTAAAGTCCAAAGTCCATCAAGAATAAACAGCACATCAAATTAATTCACTTAATCACTCACTCATGGCAAACAAGTCCTTTGTGTCACTCTTAGCAAGTCTATGTTCCCAGCCAGTAAAGTCTATTTAATCTTTTATGTTTGAAGAGGAAAAGTTGTTAGTTGTTAGTAACAAGAAGGATTTTATTAAAGGAAGTACAAAAAGAAAGTGCTTCAGCTTCACTGACTGTAAGATCACGTTAATAAAACAATAAAGTTACAGCTACACGTGACCTCGGTGCGTTGGTCCAGTCGTCACCTTGTTGTGTTTTTATCAGCACCCTCGTTAACCTGATCTCACTTTAGATTTATTCTTAGTGCCGATTGGCTGCTGAAGCTTGATGGTTAGTAACTGGAATCTCTGTCCCTCCCCTTTGCCTTTCTGTTGCTACAGGCCTGTTTTTTGATTTTGTTTTTGGTTCTTAGTTAAAAAAGGAAGAAAAAAAGTAGTTTAGGGGTGACGCCTGAAGCAGACAGTCTGGTGTGGTTCGTTCATGGTCTCCTTCCTCTTTTGTTTGTTTGTTTTAGCCGGAGTTCTTTTGCTTCCCTTTGTTTCACACTTTCATTATTAAAACTCAGCAGCACTGTGGGATCTTATACGTTCGGTTCTTTGAGCCATAAGTTTGGGGACTGCAACAGTTACACTGAGGAACATGACACGACTCCTCTACTGCAAGAACTACTACTAATAATTTTTTTAAAAAAGAAAAAAGACATTATACTTAAGTTTAAACATGCAGATCAGAGAGTGGAGTAAAACACTTGCAATTTGAAAATGAATCTAAATCAAAGACTTATTATTAATTGACCTATTTAAAAAGGCACCATTGAACACAAAAAACGGAATTTAAAGAAAATTCTACAGCAGGAAAAAGAAGATCCCTGTCAGGATTTATCGAGCTGCTTCAAATCAGTGTAATAAAAGTTTATAGTTTAAATGGAGAGGTGGCAGATAAGGTCATACCTGCCAGGCGGTCAGACACGAGGTGCACATCAGGTGTCTGCACGGCTCGATCTTCACATCCTTGTCGTTCTCTGCACAGATCTTACAAAGCTGGAAAGTAGAGCCCATCTCGCAGTAGAGTTCGTACTGCTCCTACACAGAGAAACGAGGGAAAGAGGGAGACCGTTCAACACCGGCTGCTCATGTTACTCTCATCCTGTAGAGATTTATTCCTAAAAATCTGTCATTTTATGCATCTGTATTTGTTCTCTGCATTAAAAACATGCATGCACATGAGAAACAAACCTGAGTAACTTTGATGTGATCCTGTGGAGACGGTTCACACAACCCTGTCAGGTCCGGGTTCTGTGCACGGCCATCTGGGAAAAGATAGCTGGAGAACCACGGCGCACAGAAACGCAACCAAGTCACGAAAAAAGGGTCAGTTTCAGATTTTATAAATCAACAGTAAGAAACAACAACCTCGCCATGTTTTTACAATTCATCGAGGCTGCCAAACAATTTCTCATTATAAAATCCTTAAAAAAACAACAAAACAGGTCTGTTTCTCTGCAGGATGACACAAACTAGTTAATTATACATCGATTGTGACACCATTTTATCCACACTCTCCAACCTGTTCCTCGTAAGGTTTTTTGTTAAATTTTGAGGAACTACTACAAAGACTCCACCCTCCACACTATTAATTCAGTAACCTAAAGTAACATGTACTCAGTAGGCTGAAAGACAATACCCTCCCCTGACAGCTTGCAGTTTAATAGTGCTATAAATCGACACTAAATACTAGTTCATTGACCCCGATGATATGCGACTTACAATCCCTCTCTGTATCCATCAATGAGTGCTTGGAAGAGTGGTTTGTTATGCGGGATGGTCTGCAGGATGTTCCCATCAGCTGTCACATAGCCAATTGCCCACTGGCCCAGCCGAGTGCAGCTCAGCCTGAAGATATAGCTGTGGGAGAGAGTTATTTCAACCAACAGCTACAAACTCCTGCAACAAAATATTTAATACAGTAGGAATTTCCCCCCCAAAAGTATTATAGGATATATCTGATCTGTGAGGCCTACCTGCCAGGTTTGTGGATGAACCTGTGCAGTCGAGCCTTCACCTCATCGTAGGTTAAGAAGGCCATATAACCAGGGTGTGTAACAGCCAGGCTGTTCCAGTTCCTTAGAAGAGATGACCATGGCTGCAAGACACAGATTCACAAATGCAAACATTTTATTTATGTTGTGTACATCGGCTGTTTTGAAGTTGAATTCACAACAAAAATCAGGTATGAGACTATAATGCATATAGGACAGAAGATCTGTTTGCAGCAATAAAATTACAAACACCAACTCTGATCGCTGGCAACACTACAGAAAAACATATGCGAGTGGGTTCAGACCCTGCTGCTGCATTTACACAGGAGAGACTAAGCTGGACTCAAATTTAAACAAATAAACAAATTTAAGCGTCCTCATGTAATTCACCGCCTTTGCACTTTAATAACATTTTAGTAAACTGTGCAGTTTTACAGTGAACTACTCTGAATGCTTTGTGACGTACCTGAAAGAGCCTTGTAAAGATGTCAAACTCGAAGACAGAGATGTAATCGTTACAGGTGAGGTCGATAGTGGATTTGAGCGCCATGGCCTCCAGACCTGAGCTAATAGGGTGAAACTCATGAAGAGCCTGCCGAAATGTCCTCCATGGCACTATAGTCCTGGGTAGAAGGGAGGGAGAGGAAACAAATGTTTGTTGTGGGAACATTGCCTTTCACTATTAGTTAAGACAGAATTTGGGGTTAAACAGAACCTAAAATGTAATAAAATTGCAGATTTGCTAAGCTAACACCTAGCTAACAAGGCAGCAGGCCTTTATAAAGACACAACTCTAAATATATACACAGGTGTATTTTTAGTTGACTAAAGGGGACCTGGTATGCTTTTCCTCAAATACACACACTCAACTGTGACTTTATTAGATACGTGTGTTCAACTACTGATTAATACTAATATCTGAGCATGACAGCAACTCAGTGCATTTATGCATGCAGACACATATGTATATGGTTACTAGGGGTGTGGGAAAAAATCGATACTGTGAAGTATCGTGATATTTTGTTTGCTAATAATGTATCGATACAGGGACAGCAGAAATCGATATTTTGTTACAAAAAAAAGTTTTTGTGGAATGGAACATGCTCTGACTTCAGAGCATGTTGATCCTTTTTCTGAGCAAAAGATTAACTTTTTTTTGGCAGCAATAAACATGACAGTTTACTTATTTTAATTTAAGACATTTTTTATTTTAATTAAGTTTAAAACTTTTTTATTTAATGTAAATTTATATTTTGTTTTCATTTACTTTCAAATTCTTCAGTTGCTAAAGGGGCTGCATAGTTTTCATAAATTGCATAGTTCAGAATAGCTATAATTGTACCAGATGGTTGCATTCAGTTAAGTTGGACTAGACTGTAATACAAACCGTTCAGTTTGTCAGCAATAAAACTGACTGAAATGAGAGAAAGACTGAGTGTGAGACTTTGATATTAGATAAAATGAATATTGATAAAGTTTACCTTTATGTACAGAATCTGAATATCGCAAAATATTTTAAAAAATTGCAATAATATCATATCGTGCATTAAGTATTGTGATAATATCGTATCGTGGGATGTATGGTGATTCCCACCTCTAATAGTTACCACTGCCTGCTTAAGTTCAAACTGAGCAGAATGTGGGAGAAAGAGCGATTAAAGGACTTTGAATGGGACATGCTTGTTGGTGCTGCTCTGAGCATTTCATAAACTGCTGATCTGCTGTGATTTTCCCCCCACAAACATCTCTAACATCTTTTGATAGCTGCTTTCAGTAAAATAACATATCAGGTGATACAGCTCCAATCAAACTGGTTTTCTAAACATGACAGTAAGTAACATCCAAGCAATAGCATTCAAATGGCCTCCAGAGTCCAATAGGGAAACCTGGGTATGTGGCAGCAACCTTATGATCCTGTCATGTCACTATAGACCAAAATCAGCAAGGAATGTTTCCAGCACCTTGTTGAATCAATGCCACAAAAATGAAGGCATCTCTGAAGCAAGGTGCCCCTAATAAAATGGCTGGGATGCTCACAGTCAAAGGTTCAAATCATGAGGTCATCTTACGTAGCCTTAACTCATGACCCCAAAACCCAGACCTCCCACTGCTATAAATGCTCAGTTTCAGCGCTTTTGTTGTGTTTTTTTTACTTTGCGTATGTATGTTGCCCGTGAATGTGACTATGCTAATATGGTAATCTGACTTCTGTTTAAATCTTTTGTTTGCAAGAGGCAGGAAGCAGTAAGTAAGATAAAACTGCTTGTATCAGCCAGAGATGAACTGGAATCGATGGCCAGCATGACATAAATAAGGATTACTGTGAAATATGAGTCATTCGAGCATCACCCAAGAATAAGAATAAAGAGCTGAAACAAAAACTCACTTGTCCCCGAATGACCTTCTCCAGAATTCAGCAGCATCAGCTTTGGTAATCCTGAAGTTGTCACCCTGAAATAGGCCATTGGGGAAGATGGCTTTTAACTCCGCTAGCATGTGACTGAAGATCAGAGACAGCTTGGTAAGGTTTCGCCTAAGTGAGAGAAAAGGAAGAGAGACAATTAAAGGAAACCGTAGCAACAAGTTAGTTACAGGTATCATCATCCTAATGTCTTTAGTATTCTATAACGCCATGTTCGGTTTTAAATAAAAAGGGGAAGTTACACTTGCATGCACACAGAAATAGAAGCTTTCAGCAGCCAGACACTTTCGAGTACAAAACAATCAGGCGGAATCAAAGATGGTACCACTCGTCTCGTACATTTCCCTCTCCTCTGGCACATTTTATGGATCTACAGTTAATTTTTTTCCTCTTTCTCAACAAACACAATAGTCAACTGGACATTTTCTTCTTCGCTTTTTTCTTTTTCTGCTGTTGAAACAACTGGTGTTATTTTGTTAAATGCATATAAAGCACTTTCTGTAAAATTACTTGTGGCCGGCTGCACCACCTCCCAGATAAACGAACCCCATTCCTGACAACTCAAGTGTCAAATTTATAAAAATATGTCCACTTAGAGCTGAAATGATGAACATAACTGCAGAAGAAGGGAAGCAATGTTGAAAATTGACATTTACACTTGCGTTTGCTTTACATTTGAAGATAACTGGTTTGAGCAGTCTACACGAAACGCTACTTTTCAGAGGAAGTGAGTCCACCCTCATTGGGGTTGAACATAACCAGTGCGGGTGCATAATCTAGTCCAAACTTGTTTTGCTTTTTTAAACAGTAAATCAGTTTAAAAGGAGGCACAAGGTGACACATGACAAAAAACTGAACCAAAAGTCGCAGACGCATACTGAGCACAGCCAGTTGGGCAACGACTTTTTAAAATATATATGTTTATGACATCGTCTGAGCATGACCTCAGCTTTGAAGGTTCAATTAAAAGGCTTTCCGATGACCTATACATGCATTTGCTAATGCCAACACAGCTGTTTGTGTAGAACATCTTACACTTGATAAAAATTCAGTGCGTAAAAGGAAGGATGAACTTTTGCTTAGCAAAGACTTTCTGAGAAGCAGAGGAAGTACACATGATTGCGAAAGTGCAATCACTTCCCTATAAAGTTCACTTTGCTTCATATGGTTTGATTTAATCGCAGCGATGGAAACTTGTAAGAACATTTCGAGAAAAAAGACAAACTTTTTCAATACTTCAAATTAATATTTACAAAAAGATTGCATGTTTAATGTTATAGAGCTTAAATGACATCAGCAATTCCAGTAGTTTTCTAGTCATTTTAAATGCACAGAGTTAGAGATGTGCAAGCATGCCGCTTTTTTTTTTTTTAATCTTTTTAATCATCTGATGGAGAAAAAAAAATAGCACACAAAAAATCTCAGTATGAGTTGTATTTCTTGGGTAGTTTAGAAGGTTTTCATTAAGAACCCATTTTTTATTTTGGTTAAAATAAAAATAAAAAAAGTCAGCCAATGCTGACAGCAGACCTTCAGACAAAGGTGGTCCATTAGTGAAGCTTTTATTCTATTTAGGTAACGATCTTTATTAATGTGATCATCAACATCTGTGCTTTCCAACTATTTCATGTCAAAACAGATGCTGTGAAAAAGCTCAGTTCTGTGCTCCATAGGACAGAGACGGTCTCGAATTATCGTACCATCATGAGCTTAAGGGATTATTTTATTGATAGGAAGCCAAGAAAAACAACGATTAGCTCTTTAACTGTGCCATGATTCAGATACTCCCTGCTTCACAGCTTTTGCATCCTGGCTTTCTGCTGGTGCAATATTCCGTTTCCCCCCACAAAGATGAATCGTTTTGACCAGATATAACGTGCGCCTACCTGGGCTGGGAGTTCTCCTCGTACATCCTCTCCTTGGCCTCCTTAAAAAGGCTCATGGTCTGCTTCGTCTTGTTCGTCAAGTTGTCGATGACCACGCGGAAATACTCATTCTCGCCGAGGATCTCTATTTTGCCCTCATACCTGGACAGAATGGTGCGTAAATGCTGGTAGGTATCCGGCAAAAGGTCCAGGATGTAGGGCGGGCTGTTCTTCAACGCCACCTTGGGGTTCTGGCACAGACGTACCACCTGGACAGAGAACGCAACGGCTCAGAGATTTTTTTATTTTTTTTAACTTGCAAACAACGAAAAAACAAAAAACAATAAAACAAACAGGATTAAAACCTTTAGCTGTGGCAATGCGAGATGCTGCAATGTGCATGTTTCACAAAGTTTGTCTAAGTATAGTACTGGAGAAAAGCCTGAGGTCATTTAAATACAGGACTAACCAGTTTAATACTCAGGGCGCTTAAAGAGACCTCACAGATTTCGTGACAGTTTTCCAGCTAGATCATCAGCTATCGCACGCAAGTTTGGATATGGATGTGTCTATAAATTTTAAGCTCATAAAACTGGGTCACGATTTTTGCAATGTGATGTTACTGGACAAAATTGCCATTCTTACAGATGTCATGGTTTGAAGTTTCAGCCAATATTTCCTAATGTTTATGATGATAATGTTCTTGATAAAGTCTTTTCGGTAATCGGAGAATAATGCGGCACAAGCTGTAGATCAAAGTTTGACCAGGAACTGTTTCTTTAATCTGTGACGGACATTTACTACCCGACTAATCACCTGACAACTAAGGTTACTTATCAAATTGCACTCAATTATGCTCCCATACCCACCAAATAACTTCCAATATATTGTGACCATAAACATGAAATGGCTCATAGTACAATAACACGTTGAATACCTAAAATTTGCATCAACTTCACCAGAAACTTAGCTGTCACTATTCATTTAAGTGCATCTTTTCCCCACGTTGCTGTGGACCAACTGTGCATGCAAGTAGGGTTTTGTTTCTTTTTTGCATACATTTGCACACTCACTCTTTATATCAGATCCAGCCCTTCCCCCAAACCCTCGGATTCCTCATTTTGCTACTTTGATGGCAATGTATTCCCACAATACAACTTTACAGCAAGGCAGTAAAAATTTTCAGCACCCAGCCCTGAAGCATACCACCCAGGTGTGAAAGCTTTTGACCTCAAACGTGCCATTTACAAGCACAGGTGTAAATGAGTCTGCACAGAACACTGCACATGCATGTCGTGGTTCACTCTCTATTATCTGATGCACTGTTACTTCCTACATCAGCTCACTTGCATTAATATCTTGTGAGCTCTTGTCTCACCATCTCTCTGCACTTCCCGCTCATCTGATTTCGTTATAGCCAACTGCAAAAGAAAGTAAATAGGCTGCAATGACTATAGAGAACCTTGCTTTGCCCCTGCAACATGTACACCTCTTCTTATCCAATACTAAATATAGGGTGTCCTCTTAGGGATATGAATGTGACCTAATTCAGGAGAAATGACCCCAATTAGACAATCAGACACCACTGTACTCCAGTTTTAGGCTTCAGGTTTAGACTGCTTTAAAGGTTATTGTTTAAAATTTAAGCCAAAGCACCTTCCTGTGTGGATGTCCTGGAGGTTATTCATGTCATGCAAAGGGAATTAGTGATGATTCAATATAACCGCAGTTTCACGCTAAGTGAAGGAGCATATGGAAAAGTTGAGCTAAATCTTTTTTCAATATGTGAGAAAAGAAAATCAGTTAAAGTGGCCTTGCATTTGTCTCTGATGTCGAGTTACAGACAAAAAGAAAAAAAGTCAAGTAAGAAGTTTTTCGTTTACTGTTTCAAACCCCTTTCTTGTAAAGGATTTATTACCGGAAAACCACTGTCAGTACCTTATCCATGAGTTTCCAGCATTTTTCCACCATTTTCTTGTCGACCACTGCGGGCTGGTGAGGCTGGAGAGCTTGCTGGTGAGGCTGAAAGGCGTCCTTCATCAAGCCGATGAGACCGGCGCCCCTTCTCGGATTTCCGGCCATTAATTCGGTCGGTGACCGGGGGTTAGCCCGGGGCTGGGGGTGGGTGGCTGACAACCGAAGATCAGTTCTTGACACGTTTTCAAACAAAACGATCGCTGTCTTCGTGCCCTGCCTGCACTCAACACTGGTAATAATTTGTCATGCAGAGGCTGTCCATGAGCAGAACAAAAAAGGCAGTGTGTACACTGTACGCGATGCAGCTAGCTAACAAGCTACATTTGAAAAGCCACTCAGTTTGATTCCGAGCTCAGGACATGCTCACCGTGTTGCTTAATCTGTCCTCAAAAATAGACCTACCGCCTCCCGGCGACGGCAAGTCAAATCTCCCCCTGAGAAATCAGCCCGGCTTATTATAAACTCGGGGCGTTAATAAGCCACACAGCGCGATTAACAAACAGGTTGAGAAGCGGATCCAGCCAACAGCAAGCCAGCAGCTAAAGTAAACAAGGATGTCCGGCCGTACCTTCAAAGTAAAAGCACGGTCAACAAACACGCAGAACCTGGGAAAATTAAAACTGGCTTAACGTAAATTACCTGTAATATAGCCAAATAGCCAAAGTTATAATAATTAACTGAAACTAAACTAAGAACTAAATCTAAATGTAAAAAAAATTAACTCAAAAAAAACAAAACTAGACTATGAGTCAACTGCTTTAAAAAAATGTTTTTACTGTAATATTCAGTTCACTATGATATATTAATTTTCCCTCAATCTTGCACCCCCCATATGCTTTCCACATAATACTAATTAAAGAGACTGAAACAAAAAAAACTAAACTAAAACTAAACATTTTTAGAAAAATAAAAAGCAAAAACGAAACAAGAAAAAATTGAAAATATAAATCAATTATAACTCTGCTAACAGCTAAAATAGCATTTAAATTAAGCTGCTGTTTCAAGTAAATTGCCATTTATTCAAAATCTTTAAAAAATACTGAGCTTACAAGTGATTTCAAAGGACTCATGAGCTGCAAAAAGAAATCCATAACTTTAACTGCTTTCTTTTAAAAATGTATTGTTTAGTAAAGTAATCTCTCCAGTGACAATTCATTTCCCCCAACATGAAAAATGTTATTAGAAATTGCTCCAAACCCCAGCAGAAATAACACTCTATTCAGGAAATACAGAAGACAATAATTCATTTGACCCTGGCTTTTTATTGAAAAGTTCTCTCTTTTTCAATATAATTTATTTTTTCCTTTAAATATCACAAAGTAAATCACTAAGCAGCAGCGGCACTACCAATCCCTCTACATCCTGAACACAGTAACAATAAAGGTTTTGTCTTCATGTTTGTAGTCCTTAATCAAATTCATATGTTGCCAGCTGGATGAACCGGAGACGTGTTGTGAATACAGACATCTGTGACCACTGAAGCTAAATGTGTGGATAACGGCAGCAACCTCAAAAACACATTTAGAGAACTGAAAAATAAAAGCTTTGACACCATTGCACATTTCCTGTTTCTTTTAAATAGACAATGACTTCAAGAAGAATGACTTGAACACAAAAACTTTGTAAAGGCAGTCAGTTTTGAGTGTGCGGGCCACATCCTGTTTGTAGTTCTCACTCTGTGCCTGAGAACTCATCGGGAACTGGACAAACTGGGTTTCCGAACAATGACTCGCAGCCACTGCTGATTCAACAAAGCCAGATATTAAAGGGCAGCTATTGCACATGATTGTTTCAGGTGACAGATCTTTTGATTCACTTTTGCAATCAGATTTGTTTTTGTTTTAAGTCATACTTTACTGTTAAATGTTTAACTTAACAATTACAACTGCAGTTCTGAAGGAGAAAAAAAAAAGCTTCAATCCCAACAAGTATATAATTCTCTATTCAGCTTGTCATCAAAGATTTGTCCTTATCATCACAACGTCAAAGATTAGGTTTGTGTCAGTCTCTCTCTACACACACACACATATTTATATGTGTCAATAAAAGCTTCCACTTTTAAACATCTGTAATTTGAGACTGTCTATTTCCAAGAATGACAGAGACAGAAATGCAATTCAGTGCAACAATTCACTTTAAAGGCCATATTTAAAATTATTTTGACACAATAAAAATAATCAAGCTTACTAAATTATTATTATTAAGGTATCTACTCTGGCCATACCATTCACCAGATTTGAACCATTAAAGAGATGTGTAAGGCTGTGCTCTCCATCATCCAAACACTAAATAAGTGTGTATGTATATTTTCTCTCCATTTGTCATAAAACAAAAAGAAAATTGAAGTTTGTGGTGGAATAAAATAATGACATTGCAGCTATTTTAAAACAATTTCTCCCCAACATTTTTTCCAAAGCAATTTGACTTCAGCTTGGCTTCGCAGCAAAGCAGATGTTCAACTAATTAATGCACACAAGCCTCGTGAGCACTGCTCACTGTTTGGGGAGCTGGCACAGATCCAGCAAACAAGCCCTAGGGTGCCTTAAAGGACACATCTTCACAGTTTAAGACAAGTCCAAGTGATTTAGATTGCAGCTCCCTCTGGATCCATCAAATTAGATTAAACCGGAGAGCCTTGGAAGTTCAAGGCGATATTCAACAGCTGGGCTCCGAGGTCTGCCTGCTGCCCTCCAGGCAGGAACTCTGCAGATAGCTCTCTGTAGGTGCTGCAGACTCTACGTATATGAATGTCCTTCCTGTGAATGGCGTGTTTCCATATATGCCGTGCCTCGCCGTATAAAACTACTAAACATCTGCGAGGAAGGTGCACAGCTACATGGACCTCCCCTGTTAGTCCCAGCTCTGGCAGGCCCAGCTCCAGAGACATGGTGAGTGTAGTGTCTGACAACATATTAATGGTGACTAAGCGCTCCCCCCATAGCCAAGAATCGTCTAAGTGTGGATCAATGGCTGCACCTCGCTCAGGATGATAATCCAAGTTGCACTGCTCCACTGGCTGGAAGCCAGCTAGAGTTGATTCCTGATACATCCGAAGCACAAGTTTATGGCTCAAAGCAGGGAGTCCACTGAAGCCACCCACACGCACTTTCTTTTTCTTGAAGTTCACCTTCGGGCCAAAGTCCTGCAACAATATTGGACTCCATTACTAATATATATACATACATATATATACATACATATATACACACACACACACACACACACTTTCCACTTTCCATACTTTCCATACTACATATATCAAATAGAAGATAAGAATTTTCTAACCTATACATTTTTAAGTAGCAGAAAGCAATTCTGGTTATTTTATTAATATGATTATCAAAACTGAGACCACAGTCCAAAATGATGCCAAGGTGCCTGACTTGTTCATTGTGTTTCAGAGAAAGGGATAATAAATATGAACAAATTTTCTCTGTCTCTGACTTTTTTGGATTTTTCTATCTTGTCTCTATTCATTTCTAGAAAGATTCTAGACATCCACAAGTTAATGTCATCAACGTAGCTTCATAATTTGTGAACAGGTTTCAGAGGTGTCGAACTCCAGGCCTCGGGGGCCGGTGTCCTGCAGGTTTTAGATCTCACTCTGGGTCAACACACCTGAATCAAGTGATCAGTTCATTACCAGGCCTCTGGAGAACTTCAAGACATGTTGAGGAGGTAATTTAGCCATTTAAATCAGCTGTGTTGGATCAAGGACACATCTAAAACCTGCAGGACACCGCCCCTCGAGGCCTGGAGTTCGACACCTGTGAGTTAGATGATAAGGTTAAAAAGTAACCACTGACAGAATGTTTATTTCTGCAGTTCTAAAAATATTAACTGACACATAGAAACATTTACCCTTTAGTCATGATGAAACCCAATCGAGAAACTGAATCACGAAGCCTTTGAATTAAAAGATCACGATCAACAATCAACAGTGTTGAAGGCAGCATGGAGAAGTATGACTCAAACTCTCTGTGAATCACTGTTGATGACCTGAGTAAACTCGGACTGGCACTTATATTGACTTTACAGCCCTGATAATCGCTTCTATAAATCATAGTCTAAACAAAAATGTTTTGTCTGTTTTTATTTGATAACATGCTTACCTGTTTTCTTCGACCGGACTGCGACTCCTTCCACACATCCTGGTCCATCGCACATATGAGCTCCTTCTCTTCCTCTTCTGATATGAAGTTCTCCCACAGAAAGACCCCAGAAAAGGGGAAGGATGTAGCCTGGGCATCTTTTCCAACAGCGAGCCTCGACTGAGGATCGTAGAGGAAATGATGGACAATCTTCACAGAAAGATAGATAAATAGAAAAACATCGTTATTTATACAGTAACGCAAATGTATTCCTAGAATTATTATTATTTTGGCGATGAAATTGACAGTTTGTAGTGAATGCCTTTTTGTTATAATGACAAACGCTGTTGGTAGTGATGGCCCGCTTGAAGCTGACGCTCCGGAGCGTGTGTCGAAAAAAACAACACACTGGTTCAGAAGCACTGTGTCGAGGCTTGCTTCGTTTGGCAAAAGTCACGAGACCAGTGACGTCCGAAGCTTCATTACGCACGTAACTGCTTCGGTACCTGATTCAAACGGATATAAGGAAGTGAATCATCCACGGGATTCGTGGAGTGTGTTGATGGTGACAGATAGCGACGAGGTGATCATTCCACTGACAGATATGGAGCCAGCGAGGAAGAGAGGACGTTCTGGCGTGTGGGAATATTTTGAGTTGATTTTGCTCAATTCATTTTATCTGCCGAAGTGAAAAACTTGAAATGTCCAAAATCATGTTTTCATAATGTAAATATCATTACAGCATATGACTTTAGGAACACTTCCATGTGAATTAAAGCTGATGAAGACTACAAAAATGTATTTGACACCATACGTACATTACATTGCTACACAGTTTAGAAAATCATTTTGTTTATTGTTTTTAGGTGATAGTCTGCAGGACCCAGGAATACCTGCATATCTACCAGCTTGCAGTGTGGTTCCTGCACTCCACAGCCTCTTCTGTTCCATGCAAGTGGATTTTCTCCAGGGCAGGAGAAACTATTTCTAAGAAAAGAAACAGACTCAGCCAGCGCACAGTAACACTAATCCTCTTTTTAAATTGTTAGAGATTTTCTACATTATACATTATAACCAAATCTCTATAATACAATATAATCAAGTAAACCTTATATTCTAACCAAGTAAGCCTTATATTTTGTGTGTTCATATATTTTCACATAACCAACCCTATTGTTGAAGAATCACCTAACCAAGTCTATTGTTAAAGGAAAACTGATGCATTCCTTACCTCAGTGTCTGAGATGTTTGACAGCATGATATAATGATGCATTCTTTTCCTTTAGTGTCTATGATGTCAGATAAAGCATGATATACTTCTGTATTCTTATCCCAGTGTGTGAAAGATCAGATAAGCTGATTTAATGTTTAACCTCTTCCCTGACAGTTAAAAGAGGAAGTACTATGTAACCCATTTTTGCCTTATAAATAAAGCAAGCGAGCCTGTGCTCGATGTGTGTGTCTTCTCAGAGGCATTCACCCGTGCGCACGTTTTCTAATTACACTCTGAGTCGGTCTGCAGTTGTCTCATTTCTCTTACTTGTGTTTGAACAAATGTCTACCCCTGACATAAATGTAAATAACAAAAGGGCTACCTTACATAGATCATGTTTTTACTTTGCAAGTTCTTGATTAGGGGTGGGTTTTGATTATCGCTTTTCTGATTACAATCCATGCTAAATTGAATAAAGTGATATTGATTCATTAAAATCCCGTGTCGATTTGTAAATTAACGTTATTATGCCTGAAACGCCAGCATCTCAGGTTAAACCTCACAACATGTCGTCAAATACCATGCAGCTAAAACAGTAACTGGGAGCAGGTTTACGGATTCTGCATACAAACGTAAACACAGAGCGCGGACCCGACACGTCAGAGTCAGATTTTGATGTGTCGTCGGGTCCGCGCTGTGTTTGCCTCTTTTTTTTTTTCGCTGGCTTCTGCAGCTGCAGGTTTCATAACTCTCTGTTTACATCTCTAATTAAGTCTAACATGTGTCAGCTTTCTTTTAATAGATACGAAATTATGGATATATACTGTTAAATGATCAGAATTGTAATAGTTCTGACTGAGGCAAAACTTTCCAGATTCCAATCAAATTGAATCGGATCCTGTATCGAATCAAAATGATTCTACAAATCAGTGACGATGCAGCCATACTCAGCCCCCTAAGCATTTTCCCTTTCCAGTTCACAATCAATCCCACCCCTAGGTCAAAAATATGTATAGGAATTGGCCTAATCTAATATTTTGTATGAACCTGTCCAGCGATTAAACGACAAGTAGATGGAGGCAGGACTTCACAGCAGGGGCATACTCCATAATGTGCTGTGCATTATCATATGTATATTATATATATTGCTCACTTATTGTATTTACCAACATCAAGGAGTTATGAGCAAAGAAAGGCCACCATAGTGCATGTTTAAATAGGGAAAGTTTATTGATCAAAATGTATTACGCAAATACGCATTACATTTTTTTCAGCCCCCCAATCGAGAAAACAAAACCAATTACATGTTCAAAGCAACGGAACGGTGGCCCAATATCAGAGAGAACTCCACTCTTGAGTGAGCAGTGATAATTGAGCAGTCCGTTTTATTTTGCAGATTCAAGCTGCTCTTCAAAATTTTCACCACCAGATGTCACCGGAGAGGACTGTGTTGAAAAGCTTCGAGTAATGAACCGTTTTTCAATACAAGCTTCAGTGCTTCGGAAAGCTTCATTTGGCCATCACTAGCTGTTGGCACACATTTATAACCGCAGTAATATCCCTTTAATAAGGATGGAATGTCCTCAGAGGGCACCCGTAGCTTGTTGTGTGTGCGCTGCTGTTAGCAGTATTTGATTATTTTTTTAACTGCTATAAGCACAATATATAAGTATTCTGTTGGAAAACAGTACCTTTGATTCACTCGCCTCCGGTTGTACTTTCTCTTTCAACCCTTCGCAAACGAGACACCGGCGGACACCTTTACAAGCGCATGAAGGCACGTCGTCACTGGTGTCGGGAGCCATCATCCTGCATCTTCTTCTTGTGTCAGGAAGAGGCAGCAAACGAAAACATTTTTTATCGACACCTAGCGGAGAATGCGGGTATTTTCAGGGTTTGAGAATTATCCAACCAAAGCTAAAAGAGGATGCAAATAAGAAAACACATTTCTGAATATAAAAAATACACACACACACACACACACACACACACACACACACACACACACACACACATATATATATATATATATATATATATATATATATATATATATATACATATATATATATATATATATATATATATATATACACATATATACATATATATATATATATATAGAGAGAGAGAGAGAGAGAGATTGTTGATCGTGATATAAGGGTAAATGTCGGGAGTGGCTGCCTTAAAAATCTGCCCTCCAACTTTTATGTCCTTAAAATACTTGTAAAAACTGTTTGCTTGTTTGTCCAAAAGCCTCTTATTGCCTTTGTTTTCTTAGAACAGATAATGGTACAATAAATAATTTTAAAGTGTTTTTGCGGATATTTTGTTGACTCCGTTAACATATAAGAGATTTTCATATACTTCAGTGCCACCCTGCCTAGACCTCTTGCCCCTCCTTGCCGTTCTGTTAAAGTCTTCATTGTTCATTGCTCTAAACTGGGAGTGCCAGAATGAATGCATTTCAGGGGCTACAGACAGCATAATCTCCTCTTCAGTTCTAGACCCTTTCTTTTGAACCACATCCTGAAAATGTTCTGAGTGGTGATTAACGGCACAACTTCAACTAAATCATTCAAAAATGACATGAATTTTACCTTTTTTGTTTTATCACATTGGAACTATACAAAAGCAGAAAATATTCAGATGATGGCTTTTTGGAATGAAATGTCAATACTATTTCACTTCTTTGTGATCCAAAGAACTTAAAATAACGTAATTTTAAATCAATGTCAATTTAATTTATACAGCACTTTTAATTACACTTAAACTCAATGTGCTTAACGTAAATGAAAAAGAATCATATTAATAAAAACTAAGTTATTGTACAATTGTCATAGGGTTAAGGTTAGTGCCTGGCAGGCAAAACCCAGGCTGTAAAAACAATCCCGTGTTTAAACCACGCCCACCGGATATACGTAACATTTCCCCGGGAAAGCTCGGTTTCGGCAAGAGTGTTTTGAGTTTGCTCAAGTGTTTGGTAAGTGATATTAATCACAGATATTGGCAAGTTTTAAGTTGTTTAATAATAAAATCAAAACCACTAACGCTTGCTCTAATTAAGCCAATAATTGTTATTTGTGTTTGTAGCCGAGAAATATAAATATATAGAGATATATACGGCTGTCGGCACTGCAACGTGGTTAGCTAGAAGAAACTCAAACTTATTCTCATATAACACTTTCTCATCTTCTTTAAGTGAAATATCCTTCCTCACCTTAGTATGTATGGATCTCTATATAGACGTTATGATAACGTTACTTAAAGGATAGCGCGTTATGAAATCGCATTTAGCCTGTTATTGTTGAATAGCCGCTAATTTATTGTAAACTGTTTTTGGAGGAAATCTTCCATTTCTTTAACAGATTCATCATGCTGAGGAGCTAGAGGGGATTTTAATTGCTAAATGGAAAAAATGCCAAAAAAGAGTAATTAGATCAGCTAAAACAAGTGGAACAAGCTCAGTTGTAAACAATATCTGTGTAATAATATTAAACACAAATCTACTTTTCTAAGTCTTTGTCTGTACTACAGCGTTTCTCATCCACAGGAATTTTCATTGTTCTCGAGGCTGATCAGTGGTGTTGATTACTAATCAGGCCTTCTAAAGCAGTTACAGACCTTACCCTATTGTTTGTATCTAATTATATTCTTAAAGAGCTTTTACGGAGTTTCAGTCCTTGATGTAGTCAGTTTGTTTTGGCCATGTGGGCGGTGCTCTGGTTGTGTGATTAGAACAGGATTGACAATATAAACAAACTAGGAGGACACTTCTCTCAGCCCTAGCTTCAGTTTGCCATCTTCCCTCCTGAATTGTGCTTCTTCCTGCAGATAAGCGATGGAAAAAATCACTGAGAAACTTTTACTGGAGAAAGCCTCTCCAAAAGCCAACAAACTGGAGCAAATCATGACTTTGAAGTAAGGACTTCTTATTCTTCTTATTCTTATTCTTCTTATTATGCCCTGTAGGTGTCTTGCTGTCTTGCTGTTAAAGTTGCACTGAAGTAAACTGGTAATGCTTAGTTACAGTTGTGGTGACAAGTTTACATCCACTCATCATGGGCATGATTGTCATGGTATTTTTATGATGATTCTTGTTTTTTTAAAGTAATTAAAATGTATCCATTCATTCCACCCTGGAAATTATGAAGCCCTAAATGACCATGACATTTATACCAATGCTGAGTGCACATAAACAGCTAAGGCCCTAATAGTCAAAGACATTTTCCAGTTGGCTATTTAAAAACTGGAATAAAACATTGAATTAATGGAAATATTTTTATACTTTTGTGATAGTTGTGTGTATGCAATAAGATTTAAATAAATGATTATAGATGTAATACTATAATCACTAAACGGTGTCATATGTAATTTTATTTCATACCCCATGGAAACACTAACTTTGGTGCTCTTTGTGTTTCAGCCTGTCTAAGATGAGGTTGAAGCTTCAGGATCTACCTGTCAAGCTGCTGTCCCGTCTCCAGTCTCTGGAGAAGTTGGATCTTTCTGGAAACATGCTGCAGGAATTTCCCAAGAACCTGGAGCTTCCTGCTCTTCGTTTCCTGGACCTGAGCGACAACCAGATCGAGGACGTTACCACTCTGGACTCGCTAAGCAACGTAGAAGAGCTGAGGATGGATGGCAACCTCTACATCACTGTGAGCACATCGCTTTGTTTTCTCCTTACACTCCTGTTTTAGTGTCACTCTTTGCAGCTACAGCACAAATGGCAAATACATGAACAGGTTATAACTGACACTTGTCATCAGTATTTCATAAAATCACATACATCTACACCTACTGCTGTCTGGCTTGGCTCATGGAGAAATATTTGAGTCAGGCCACATTGCTGAATGATCATATCAGCTGATTATTAGTGTTAGCATTGCAAGGGAGCACCCTGCATCAGTTGTCATGACAATAAAATATTCATGTGTTTGACTCCCTCAGCCAGCTCAGGCCTTTGTCTGCTGAGTTTGTGTATTCTGTCTTAAGGGTTTCCTCCTGCAATGCAAACACATGCTGATGATGTGAAATGAAGTCCTGTAGGTGTGAATGGCTCTTTTTTGTGTCAACTCTAAGATAGACTGTTGTCCAGCCTTTTCCCCCCACTGTGAAAGAGACACAGTTTCAGCCCCCACTATCCTGCAGATGATAAATGGAAATAAGGAAATCCTTGCTCCTCTGTAGGATCTGGTTGTTTTTCTAGGTGATTCATATGATAAAGCAAAACACATCCCTGCATTCTTATTATCCCAGTGCCCCAATGAAAACTGTATTATTAGCAGAGAAATTCTTTTAAAAATGGTTTCCGCTCATTTTCATCATTTGCTTCTGATTGGCTGCCACTCATAAACAAGATCAAATAGCTGGCACACAACAAATATATATGATCTTTGTCAGCTCAGTGATCAGAATGAGTAATTACATAATAATTCTGAAGTATAAATCATTCACTGAACTGCAAATAATGGAGGAATTAAACTCTTTTCCTTTTTTGCTGTGATCTCCAGTGTCTTCCACATTTGCACAGTCATATCAAATGTACAGTATGTTTGAAAGTGTTCACAGAGAGACTGCTTTTTTAGGTCCCTTCATCATAAAATGCCGCCACACTGACTTAATTGTTAACGTTTCTTTTGGTTATCAGGTGAGTGACACTTACAAGCTGATGGTGTTGCTGCCCAATCTGAGGATTTACAACGGTAAAGATGTCAGTACTTATGCCAACCACTTGCGTTATGTCTACAGTGATAATCTGAGGACCAGGGTATGGAACTAATATCTTATTTTGCTCTACTTCATGGTGTTGGTGTTAATGTTCCTGCATTTGATACTGTACAAAGTCATAACATGCACCAAAAAATGATTTTTAGCAGCTGTTGTTTTGGAAAAAAAAACAACTTCTGGCCCAGATGTGGCAATGCGTCATCGTTTCATCACGTAGCCTGGAATCGCTGTCCTAACTATTGCTGTTTATTTTAGATTGCTGCTCTTTGGGAGAATAGCTTCTGCCTCCCTGATCCCATCACAGCAGAGAAAATAGATGTCTTGGAGAGCAAGTTTGTCAGCACTGCTTCTTATCAAGTTAAATTTGGGCCCAATTCAGTCAGTGACTTCACCAGGTGGAGGGTAAGTTTAGAGTGCTTTAGCACTTGTTTTTGGCTGCTTTCTGTTACATTTAATAACTTCTTCTTTGTCTCCTTTGGATCCTAGGTGGGGATATTAGCTAAGGAGTATCTTCTCTCACTGACAGAACCAAAGAAAGAAGTTGATAGCGTGGAGACTACAGGCACTCAAAATAACTCTGTGAGTCATTGTGTGCACTAAATATTGCTGCATTAATGAAGTTGCACCAGAGATCAGCAGCTTCCTACTTAGTGTCTCTGCTTTAGTCCAGAATATGCTTTTATATCCAAAGTTCTGTAGTCAGCTGATGATGATGTTAGAAGATTTAAAGTTCATACAGTGGCTTCGTCTTACACAGGATGTCTCGAAGCCTGCGAAGAGGAAACAAACTGAATCAGTTATAGACACCAGCATAAGACTGAGGCCTCACAAAAAGCCTCGCACAGATCCCGCAGCCTCTGCAGCCTCAGACAGTCCATGCCAGTCGAGATTCCGCCTCAAGCCTCAGACACAAGATCCAATCGACACAATCAGGAATGTCCCCAGCAAAACAAGTCGGCCTCCCATTACCCCGAGCAGGGGAGAGAGGAGATCAGAGAGACCCAAGAGAAGTTTTCAAGAGCAGCAAACCAGCGAGGATGATGCTCAGAAGAAACGGAAGGAAAGTTTGGGCAAAAA